CAACTTTGTGCTGTGGAATCGCCGGATCGGTTTCACCGTGGACGAAGCGGAGTCCAACCCGGGGTCGTCACGTGTGGTCGCCGCAAGCCCTCCAGACGCTCATTCGTCGAATCCGCCGCCTCTGCTCACTCTAGCCCTCCGGCCGTTCCTCACTTTAGCCCCCGGCCTTTGCTCACTGTAGGCCGCCGTGTGTGACGCTGTATTTCATTGTGAAAGCGAAACTACTTTGTTTGGCCTTCCAAAAATGGACACGACTAGAAATCAGTGGTTAAGTTGTATTTACAACACTGTTCCAGAACACTTCAACCCAAATATTCAGATGTGTGCAGCACATTTTATGGAGGACTGTTTCCTGATCCTGGGAGAGTAGACTACAATGCCGGCTGTTCTGACTCAAAGACTGTAATTTAAAGAGTTAAAAGAGTTATATTTAAAGAGTTTATATTTTATATATTTAAAGCGAGTTTTTTGAGCAGTGTAGAGTAGGGCTTGTTGTTTGTCATTTCTCCTATCACAAATGCAGACATGGTTTTATGTTTATGCGGCGCGATGCAAAGCAACGCGTAAAAACACAGTACAAGTCATTATAATCCATAATTATGACCCCACTGGATGCAATGAATGCCTCGTTTATAATGGGTTTTCATGTTTTTGAATCATCGCTCCGGCCTGACAGGGCATCATCACAGTATGGTGAGGGGCGTTACATTTCCGTCACATGCTTGAGGTATTCGGCCAATCACAACGCACTGGATAGCTGGCCAATCAGAGCACACCTCGCTTTTCAGACCGATGAGCTTTGTAAAAATCGACGAGTTTCAGAAAGGCGGGGCATAGAGGAGAAACAATAATGTACAGTATGTGGAAAATAATGTGTTTTTTGAACCTTAAACCGCATAAACACATTTCATTACACCAAATACACAAAATAATGTTCTTTTTAGCAGCTTCATATGACCCCTTTAAAACTGTCTTATCTCTTATGTTTATGACAACTGACACATTTGAACTGTTTGGACTTCTGCCTGGCCTGATCTGTTTTAAAAATGCTTCAAGTGAACTGTATAAACACTTGTAAGTTTCTCACAGAGGTTTGTCTCACAGGACCTGGCAGGGTGAGAGGTTTTAGGAGACAATGGGAATCCGGGAGGGACATGATGTCAAGAAGGGGTTCACTAAATAGAGCTGCTGCCACTGTCATGGTATAAGTCATTGTATTGTTTCTGGTCCTAAAATAAGGTTAAGTAATTGAAACCGGTGGTTTTTAATTGAATACCCTGTGTTCTATGTAAATAAGGTGACTTTTCTTTCAACAATGATTTTACTGTGTATCATAGACCGGTGAACAGTTTGATCAGACCACATTCACATCGAGGGGGACATTCAGAGGACGAGGAAGAGGTAGAGGAAGAGGAGGCGGACTGAGCAGGTTCTATTCTTTTCATTCATTCATAAAATCTGAATATGATGTTATGGTTTTTTTTTACTCTAATATCAAAACAAAATATGAATAATAAAATATACTATAATAATAATACAGTATCATGCTTAATTACTAATGATGGAACAACTGATGAATATTGGGTTTTTTAAATTTTATATCCAAACTTATCCTTACCAGTAAAATTCAAGAATCTCAGTCTAAAGTACCTATTGTTATATAATAAAGTATTTATTATATTCTCTACAATTCAACTGTGAGCAGTACAATATGATATATTATGCCATATGTGCCAACAGGAGTGGTGAAGGTGGACACAGGAACTCATGAGAACTGGTTTTCATGGGACGTAGTCTTCCAATGTATAGCCCAATCTATTTGAAGATTCTATTTGAAGCCATAATATCTGCATAAATATAAACACTGAAAGTCACAGATCCAGAAGAGAGAAGTCATAGAAAATATTTCTATGCAGCCAAGGCTGAAATGGTCAATGTTGCTTCAAAGAGAAGCTTAGGATGATGCAGCTGCGGCTTATCATCTCTAAGAATTCCGACCCTGAAGACGGTGTAGAGACACACAAAGGCAGAGATATACACTACTGTTCAAAAGTTTGGAGTCAGTGGGGTTTTTTTTATTAAGTATTATTAAGAAATGAATAGTTCTGTTCAGCAAGGAGCAATTTACTTGATCAAAGTGGTAGTAAATATTTATAATATTACAAAAGATTTCTATTCATTAAAGGGGTCATATCATTATTTGATATGACCGTCGTGTTTTATCATTATCATTATTTTGTGTATTTGGTGTAATGAAATGTGTTTATGCGGTTTAAGGTTAAAAAAACACATTAATTTCCACATACTGTACATTATTGTTTCTCCTCTATGCCCCACCTTTCTGAAACGCGTCGATTTTTACAAAGCTCATCGGTCTGAAAAGCAAGGTGTGCTCTGATTGGCCAGCTATCCAGTGCATTGTGATTGGCCGAATACCTCAAGAGAAAGGAAAAATTGAAATTGCATCTTATGACCCCTTTAAAGAATCCTGAAAAAATGTTTCCACAAAAATATTAAGCCGCACAACTGTTTTCAACACTTATTTTAATTTTTTTTAAACACCAAATCAGCATATTAGAATGATTTCTGAAGGATCATGTAACACTGAAGACTGGAGTAATGATGCTGAAAATTCAGTTTTGCCATCACAGGAATAAATTAATTTTTATAATATAATAAAATAGACAACTGATATTTTAAATCATAATAATAATTAAGAATATTACTGTTTTTTTACTGTATTTTTGATCAAATGAATGCAGCCTTGGTGAGCATAAGAGACTTGATGATTTCAAAAACATTAAAAATCTAATATATAGGTAAAATACAACAACAATAAATGGGAAAAAAGATGTATTGGGTGACATCTGGTAAACTCTCAATATTTTATGGGTTGTGACATAAAATATCGAATTCTTCTTAGAAGTAACATTAAACTTTTTGAGAAAAAGAGCTATAAACTCAGCATAAAACAGTCTGCAGTTTAATATAATTGTTTGATTGCTCTTGTTGTTGTAGGGGTGCATTGTTAGCAAGAGGACAGAGGGGTGGAAGACCATTTGTATTAGACAGAGGGGTAAGAATGACAATCTTTATTAATAATAATAAAAACATTCACATTATACACAACTTATACATGGATTGACCTTCCTGTTAATATATTTTAGACCTACATTTCTGTCTTTGTCTTTGTTACTTCAGTTTTCCGCTACAAAAAGGACTGAGAAATTACAGAGGTATCAGACGATAAGAAGGTGAGGTTTAATTCAATGAGAATATGACTCCAGTATATTCCAAAAAGTATTCTCAAGGCGTGTAAACTAATTGTCTCTGCTCGTTTTCTCTCTCTGTGTCTGTCACACCCACATCCACACACATACTGAAGTCGAAGAACAGCACCATCTGGCTCCACGCTGACAGTTTCTCTGCCAAATGCTAAATCTGCACCTGTCGCTGTGTGAGTTAATTCACCTTCTCACTTCTTTCTCATTCACTGGTTGTACATTTCTCTTTGTTTATCTTTTCTTTGTCTCACTCTTTTCTCTCCATCAGGAAGACATCTAATCAGGCTAGGAGGGGTGGGGCAGTGTTAAGGGGCAGATCATCTGGAGGAGCCGGTACTTCTTCACCTAAGGGGATTCCTCTGCAATTTAACTACAAAGCAGCCACTAACCAGGTGAGTTGAACTGTCCGGCAGAGCCTGTATACCCAGTAAAGTGGGAGAGTCAGACATTTATTGCATTTTATTGGCCTTGTATGTGTAAAGACTAATTTTTATAAAAAATGCATGAATAAACTGTTCTTCAGCTTTTAGAGCCTCTGTTTTTATTTTGTTTTGCAGACTGCCGTATACCTTAATGACCGTTTCACTGACCTGAGGTTAAGAGTGCGAGGACGGGGCCGGGGAAGAGGAAGAGGAGCTCTTGGAGGAGGTGGAAGAGGCAGAGGAAGAGGAAATATCATTGGGGGTGGACGAGGTAGAGGACAAGGAAACATTATAGGTGGTGGCAGAGGCAGAGGAAGGGGTGGGGTTGGTGTGACAAGAGGAGGAAGAGGCTTGAGAAGAGGGAGGGGAGGATCAAGAGTAGCCGATCGAACAGTAACTCTTCAGTGATTAGAATTACAACCATTCAGTTTTATGAAGTTGTAGTGTTTACTGTTAGTGATGCACTGAAATTTCCACAACCAACGATATTGGGGCGAAACAGAAAAAAAAAAAATCAGTTTCAGCCGAAATAGTTTTGGAGGCCCGAAATCAGTGACGTTTAACTACGACTAAAAATGGAATTAGTTTTGTAAAAAAAAAAAATAATAATAATAATTTTGGTGCATCACTATTTGCTGTAATGATGTCATTCAACTAAATATTTGAAAGATTTCTGACAGCAGCTGTGTACAAACAAAAATTGTCCTTTTTAAAAGAAAATGTAAATTATTTAATTGTTATATGATGAAGGTTTTTACATTTTAGGTTATGGAAAAATACAATTTTTAATGGTACCTCAGAGGGTAATGAAATGCCTCTTTGAATACAGTGTAAATACTGTTTTGCATTCTAAAACTAGAAGAGGTCATCTCAGTAATAAAAATTGTATCCAATACTTCAAACAAAATGTAAATATGCAAAGAAGTTGTTTACATTTTATATCATCATGTCAATAAACACCAAACAATGGACTTTTTTTTTTTTTGAATAATTATTTAGTGTTGTCTGTCTGGTTTGTCCGTTCGTTTATTTGGACGTACTGCTTAGTTAACCTAAAAATGAAAATTCTGTCATCATTAACTGACCTCCATGTCATTCCAAATATCATGATTTTGTTTCTTCTGTGAAGAATTTTGGTTACCAGTGACTTACATTGTATGGACAAAGTTTCTTACAGTGTCTGAGTGAGTAAATTGATGTGCAAATTTTCATTTTTGGGTGAACTATCTCTTTATGTAAAAATCTGTGAAATTTGGGTCTTTGGCTACTTGAGTGGATATTGAGAAATGTTATGACTTAAAACTGACCATTTTTTTTAAACACACATTCCAGGTGTTTCATTATTCTTTGTGTTTCTTTTTTTTAATCTAATTAAATATTATCCAAACTATTTTTTTATTAAAAATTATAATTGTTTTCATGTTGTTAGTCCCTTACATCATTTTCGTGAGAAGACGAGCACAAACATGAGCAAGTGTTAACAATAGATGAATTCTGTGATGTTCTGTCATATTAGTTGTTTTGTCTCACACATGATGTTATCAAAATTAACATCAGGTTGGTTGAGAGCCTCACATAAGCTCAGGTCTTGAAGACTGTTCATTTTATTGCCATTTTATAATCAAGTCATAATTAATACAACCGTTACTGTATAACGTATACAACTTTAAATACGCGCGACTGGAGTCTCAAACATCCGCTGCAGTCGCAGAATGAGGCGTTTTGAGCCCTGATTGGTGTTGGTCACGTGACGTCACTTTTCCGCTATTTCCATTTCTAGTGAATTCAAAATGGCGGATTAGCAACAAATGAACGGTTTCATTTTTGCAACGCAAGAGCTGTGTAAGTCGCTATATAGATTGTTTACAGACGTGCAGCTGGTTGCAGCATCAGATATGTCTTCATTGCGTCCTCCAGTGGCGTTAAAGCAGTTGACCGCAGAAGGTTGTCTGAGGTTTGAACGAGGCCAGGAGAACTAGAGCTGTTAGCCCGCACGCTAACGTACACACATAGGCTGTCTGTCTCAACCTGGTGAGCTGCACACATAGACAGCTTTTTGGGGGTCTGTCGGCGACCGTGATGCCCACGAACGCTGTCTAGGTAGGCAGCTCACTAGGTTGGAAAACAGTTTCAGACTGAGTTATAGAGACACCACCAGCAGCAGGTCTATAACTATTGAACGATAATGTTATAACTTAGTTACAAGTAGAGCCATGGCATGTAGTCGTGCCGCGAATCCTACACAAATAAGGTGTTTACAGGATATATAGACTACTGTCTTATTGTGCATAACGGCTGGTGTCGTAATCCAGCATCTGCTTTGCATCTTCAAAGTCCTGCATCCCTGCTGTCCTCAGTACAGATCAAGACGTCATACGGATGGAGAGCAAAAATGGCTATTGTATGACTCGCATTGTTCTGGGAAATGTTCCTTGTTATTTGCCCTCTTATTCTCAGAAGTCTTGTCATTAAGGGAAGTACTTTGTGATATTTGTCAGGTATGCAGGGTCTTGACCCCCAGACTACGGGTTTTGAGTAGTTGTTTCTTAACTTCATTATATGCAGTTCCCCAGTCCTGAATATATGGTTACATAAATGAATAAACTGCACTGCAGTGAGCTAAGTTACAGTACATTTCTGTTGTGTTTTAGAAAGTTGACATGGCAGACAAAAAAGGGAAATCTGTGGGGGTGAAGAGGACACTAACAAAAAGAGAGCAAGAGGAAATGAAGAAAAAGGTAAGTTTTTGTCAGAAAATGTGTTTGATAGAGTCAATGAACATTCAGCTCATGCAGAAGAAAAAATAGGTATTGTGGCTGTGAATTAAGAATTACTTCCCACAACTTCTTGATTTGTTAGCTAAAAACAAAGGAACGAATAGATTGTGGCCATGATTTATCTAAATTAAAACATGGGAATAAATTATTAGTACAGTGTGACTACAGTTTAACCAAAGCAAAGGAATGAATGTGGGAATGAATTCTTAATTGTCTTGTTATTTCTCTCCCTAGGTGAGAATAGTGGTGCTTAGCTAAAAACATAAATCCCCAAAAAATAGATGAATACAAGATACAAAGCTATTACTGTTAATTGAAACCAGTATGATTAAGAGGGGGAAATAAGTTTTTTTTTTTTTTCAAAAAAATACCCAAGATTATTTTTATATTGTTGACAACATTTCTCTGTCTCACTGTTTACAGGAGGAGGAGAAAGCTGCTGAAGTCTTTGAGGAATTTATAGCTTCTTTTGACACTAATGAAAAAAGTGGTGTGAAGACATTTGTACGAGGAGGCATTGTAAATGCAACTAAAGGTGAGCTGTTGTGCCTTTCTTATACAAGTTTCTTCTTCACTGTTATTTATATATTATTATACTATATATTAATATTTTGAATTAGCCTTTATTATATTCAGTTTTAATTTGAGTAATTTTGTTATTGCCTTTGCCATTTTTATCTAATATTAATATTTTATTGCAGCCTTATTTCAATTACAGAAAACAATTTTTAATAGTTTCAGTTGTAGTTTTAGTTACAATAACAAAAGTGAAATATAAAATATGTTCCCTGCTGTGACTTAATGTCGCTTGTTCGGGTTTTTAAGCATGTGTCTCTCTAGATCTCTGTAGTTCGAAACAATAAACCAGTGATCTGGTTCAGCTCAAACTGACTTTGTGTTTTAGTGGCATGCTTATATGTTGCTTGCATTAAAAAGCTTAGAATTTGAATTGTGGGCTACTAAAACTGTAAACCTAAGCTGTTAGTTTAAATGGAGGAAGGAGCGAGTTATGATTATATGTTTTCATTGTTCATCTTTCAGAGGAAGAAGCCGCCGAAGTGAAGAAGAGCAAACTCTACAGACCCGCCTCTAAATTCACTTCTCCACCTCAGAATGCCTCACCTGTTCAATCTGCAGAAGTTAAAAAAACTGTAAGTGAGCTTCTGTCTTCTGTAGTCAGATGAGCTTAATATATTTTTGAAGAGGTAAGACCGGGTCAGAAGGAATGTGATGACTGCCATAATCAGCATAGATGGCGCAATCCATTTTGCTGTGAATCACAAAATACAATAATTAGTCAAACGTTATTGTTGTTTTTCCATTCTAGGCCATTAAAAAGAAAGTGGAGGAGAAGAAGAAGAGTAATCTGGAGCTTTTTAAAGAGGAATTAAAACAGTCAGTGTTTCTCTCAAAATTCACTCTGTTCATCTATTTTCTATTTTCTATTTTGCATGTTATTGATTTTATTGTGATTGATTCATCCCTATGTTCAGCGATCAACTACTGATGGTTAGACACAAGTCCCCGCCCTACATATGCAGTTTTTTGTTAATCTGTTTCAGTCAGATGTCACAATACAGAAAAAAAGACCTGCTCTCCATTTCATCACGACTTTAACAAGTGTTGCAAAAGGGTAGCTAAAAAGTGTTCTGGCTTTATTTAATCTGTCATTCAGAATACAGGAGGAAAGAGAGGAAAGATACAAAAAGAAGAAAGGTGACTCTGGAGGAGTCAACCCAGATCTGGATTTACCCCCGACACGACGATCAAGTAAGTCGGACAAACTCACGCCACACATTTCACTTTGGAAACCCAGTGGAAGCCTAAAAAATCTTTTTACGCATTGTGTTTGTAGTATTTGATGATGATCCTGTGGTGCCAAACACAACAAACCTGTACATCGGCTGCATCAACCCCAAGGTGAGAAGAGAACAGTATTTTGACCTGCTGATTGCCATCCATGGAAAATCACAAAATCACAAAAATGTTTTTTCTTTAACAGACTGCACAGGTGTGCTACACAGTATGTTTAGATTCGTAGTTATTAAGCTTTGACTGTCTCATTAGATGACAGAGGAGATGCTGTGTAAGGAGTTTGGGAAATACGGTCCTCTGGCCAGTGTGAAGATCATGTGGCCACGCACTGAAGAAGAGAGAACAAGAGTCACCAACCGCGGTTTTGTTGCTTTCATGACACGGAAAGATGCAGAGCGTGCTCTGGCCGCACTGGATGGTGAGGTGTCCTCAATCCTCAAACCCGTGTAAATGAAACGTTAGACTGCTGTCTGTCAAAAGTTTGACATTTGAGCTCTGGTTTCTGTGTTTTGCAGGTAAAACAGTAATGGGTTTTGAAATGAAGCTAGGTTGGGGGAAGGCAGTACGTATTCCTCCGCAACCTCTATACACCCCCATCGGGGTTCTGAAGACCACTGCACCCCCTCCACCTTCTGGACTGCCATTCAACGCCCAACCCAGAGACCGCTTCAGAAATGACTTCACCAAACCACGCAGCCGCTCACAGGAAGACATTTATAAGGTAACCACATGCTCTGTCTCCTGGTGTTGTAGAGTTTGGTTTGCCGAAGTCAAGGTATTTATCTGCTGGCAAGGTATTTTGTGAGCATGAAGCATTACTGAGTAAACAAATGTTGACTTTTTTTTTCAATAAATAAAAAAGTAGTAAAATGAAAGGAATAAAGATTTCTGCTTGGTGGTTTTAGGTTGATAGTGACAAAAAGGCTGAGAATTAAGATTTAATGAAGAGACCTATTTTGGAATCTGAATAGAATCGAAGCTTTTAATTTTAGATAAAATATTTTCTTTTTCTTTACACATCAAAAGTTTGGGGTTGGCAAGGTTTTTAAATGTTTTTGAGAGAAGTCTCTTTTACTCACTAAGGT